CCTCTCCGACCTGCACCTCTCGAAACCCCCCTCGCCTCCCCCCTCTACCCCACCTACAACCCCCCGCTTCCCCCGGGGACGACCCACCTCTGCCTCCTCGGCGACACCGGTCTCCTCGCCCACCCCGCCCTCTTCGCCTTCCTACGCCGCACCCTCCTCCGCCACCCCCTCCTACACATCCTCTACGTGCCCGGCAACCACGAATTCTACGACAGTTCGCTCACCGCTGGGGGGCAAAATCCTAGCGGATTTCGAAGCGGAGGTGGAGCGCGACGCGAGGTTCGGGGCCGGGCCGCGGTTCTGGGTGCTAGACCGCACGAAGGTGGATATCGGAGGGGTAGAATAACGCCGGAGCAGGCGGGGGAGGTGTGCGGGCGGATGAGCGACGTGCGATGGATCGGCGGCTGGGGCCTGGATGCGTGGAAGGATGCGCATGAGCGGGATGTGCGGTGGTTGGTTGAACGACGCCGTCCTCAGAATCGATCGAGAGGGCGCGGGGAGAAGTGTTGCTATCCTAACGTACGTCTTGTCTAGACGCAAGCTCGAGAGGGGTGGGTGCGTGGTGCTGACGAGCGGGTGGTGGGTTATTCTAGGCATCACGCGCCGACAACGTTGCCGCAGGCGGTGGATGCGCGGCATGCGGGTGGGAAGATGCTGTCGGCGTATCATACGGATCTGTCGGCGGAGCGGTGCTGGATGAGTCCGGTGGTGGGGTTGTGGGCGTTTGGGCATACGCATTTTAGTTGTGCGTTTGAGGATCCGGCGACGGGGAAGCTGGTGTATGCGAATCAGAAGGGGTATGCGGGGCATGAGGGGGTGGGTTTGATGCGAGGAGGTATGTGCAGTTTGAGGAAGGGAATTGGGTTGTTAAGACGTCAAGGGCTGAGAGAGGGGAGGGGAAAGGAGGTGGTGGAAAAAAAGACGGGGAGAAGAAAGGGGAAGGTAGGAGAAAGAGCACGGAAAAGAAGAAGAGGTCGAGTTGTTGTGTGAGTTGATTGTAGCTGAAATCTATGATCTCTTGCTTCGACTTATGCATACCTGTTATTAGGTACAGGGGATTCCATCATGCTGGTCGTGGTAAACATGGTATCGTTATTCCCCCTTGAAGCCAACCTGAACCAATTATCGAACCCTTATCGAAGCGTGTGCTTCTTTCTTTTCCCAAATTCCATGTCTCCATCTCAAGCCGACGTAGTCCTACGAAGATCCGGACTCCCATCCCGACTGCCACCTTCCCTCGAGAAAGTCCTCATCAAGAACCTTCTCACCCCAATCTTCTGCCTATCATTCGCCGCCCTCTTCATATCCTGCACAAACCACGCCGCCCCCACCAATCCGGCCGCAATGACATACATCGTCCCCGCGTACAACTGCGCAACCGCATACTCCCCTCCAAAACCCTCTATGATAGCACCCCCAATGGGCGCCGCCACGAGCATCGGCACACTCGTCACAACGGTACACACCGCCATCCTAGCGCCCAACCCATTCCGCTTGAGTATTACACTCGCTGATGCCGAGATGAAAAGCGCCCTCTTTGCGTGCCAAAAGAAGCCGTAGTACGCGGCGAATACCCAGAGTGGGCCTTCGCTGTCTACGATGAGCCAGGAGAAAGTGGCAGAGGCGTTGAACAGGATGCAGATAGTGAAGGCGGGAAGGGGGCCGAGGATCTGGTCCGCGAACCAGGGCATGAGGATGCACCCGGCGATACCGAAGGCATTGAAGAGAAGAAGTGCGTTGAGGTGGGAGCTTGTGGATTGGTGGAGGGCGTCTTTATCGAAGGAGGGGATCTGTTGGAGAGTGAGTTAGTTGGTGGCGAGAGGGAAGCGGCGAAAGAGAGACGTACGTAGAATGGGACGAAGTAGCTAGAAAGGAAGTTGAAGCAGGCGCCAGCCACGAAGAGGGCGAAGTCTAGGCGTTTGAAAGCGGCGAAGTCGACGAGGCCGTTGTTGAGAGATTTCTCTGAGGCCTCAAAAGGGCGAGCGGCTGCGATGATGAAGACGTTGGTGGCAATCAAGATGTAGCCTATAACTCGCAGATAGGGTCCGATACCATGCGACGGGATGAGTTCTTTGCCTAGCTAGAAGACATGAAGTTAGTATCTCCCTGGTAATGGTTCCGGATGAGTTTCCTGGATCAGAGAGTACTCACTCCGATAAACATCAAGGCTCCGACTGGGACGCCCGTAGAAGAGATCGCAATCGCAAGCATTTTTCTCCTCTCGAAATGCGTCGCAACAACCCAAATGCACGGCGTATACGCCAGCCCGTTCCCCAACCCCATGATAATTGCCTGGGTTATGAACACCGTCCAGTACCCCTTCGCAGCACTGGCACAGAAGACCCCTACAACTTGCAAACAAGCTCCGACAATCACGGCAACACGGAAATGGCCAGTGTCCACCAGCCTTCCGCTGATTATGCTCACGACTGAGACGACAAAGATCGGGGTGGAGCCGATCCATGAGACGTTGGAGTCAGAGGTGCCGAGCAGTTCTGGGTAGTAGATTTGGAAGACGCCGAAGGAGGTAAGGAACCCGAAAGAGTTGATGGCAGCGAGAAAGCCGACGAAGACTTGGAGGCAGGCGATACTGCGCATCTTGAGGGTTGTCCGGCGGTGTTCATCCTGCGACACGAAGATGTGCGAGGTAGCGTCTTTGTTGTGCATCTTCGAGGCCTAATTGGAGGCAGCCGAGCCGTGCTAGGAGCGCGATGCGATGAGGTCGTAGCAGTGAATTAGAGGGACTCGGTTCGTTTGGTTTAAACGAGTGTGATTGAAGTTGGCAGAGGAGGTTGCGGAGCGAAGGTAATGGAAATGGCTCCGTAGTCGAGGAAGCCGCGAAGCTGCACGATGGCGACGAGACTCCAGGACCAGATTTTGAAGCCCAGGCAAATATACTGATTACAATGTTTTGCCGTCCTCTTGAGAAAGAGGTCAAGCTGCAGAGTAGTCGACTTGATCCTATTTGGGGTACTCCATCAGGGTATCAGATAGTAAACAAACTTACATCAGTTCAAGACTCGCGCAACTGTATCAAAGCGCCTCAAGCGATGGCATAAGTGTATTATCAGGCTGATTTGTAGCACTTAAAGATAACACACTGAGTCTGTCTTCCAGCTCTCATGACAGTACCAGGCTGCTACTCCACCTTGTAGACGAGCTTGACTCCACTCACCTTCCCATCCTTCAAATCCTGGAGGCCCTGCAGAATCCCAATCAATCCACCCTCCCTCACCTCCGCCGGATGCGCCTTCAACTTCCCCGAGTTCAGGAGCCCCTCAGAGAGCTTCCAGAATTTGACCCCGAATTCATAATCTCTGACCCCTTGCTCCGGAGTTTCGACCATGAGACCGAAAATGGTGTACGCCAAAGTGAAACCAACGCTCACATCCTCTCGGCCGAGCGTCTTGACGGGCAACAGAGAGGAGTATTTCCCACCGGCAGGCCCAATCGCGGCAGCAGATATCTCTGGAGAGCCGAGTTCAGAGATGGTGTCGAAGACAAGAGAGATGCGGCCCTTGGTGGCTTCACGGATCTTGGCGCCGACATCTGGTTCCTTGTAGTCGAAGGTTTGGTCTGCGCCGAGACTGCGGCAGAGGTCGAAGTTTCGCGGCGATGAGGTTGTGATGACTTCGCAGCCAGAGCTAGTCGAGATGAGTGACAGAACCATATTCGCGGGGAAGTGCAGCTCACAGCTTCGCGAATTGAATGGCTAGCGTGCCGGTTGCGGTGCTGCCGCCATAGATCAAGATGGTAGTCGGCTCTTTTACCTTCTGGGGCGGGAAAGGTAGGCCGAGAGCCTGGTAGAGGCCTTGTCCGACGGTGCTAATTCCAACGCCCAAGGTAGCACCCTCTTCGAAGGAGACGGAATCGGCAATCTTGATCTGCAGGTCGCCCTTCGCAGCGATGATATCGGCGAAGGCGCCATCAATCTTGTCGGGGTCCGCTATTACCGTTAGATCAGCTAGAGGAACATATATACATTTCCTCGCCGTAGATATGCGGACGCTCTCTTGTGACTAAATCTGTAGGTATGACACCTCCGAGGGGACTCAAGCGAGTCACCGAATGTTCGATATGATAAACTCCCATCCTATTCAGATTCCCAAGAATACCTTGAAGCTCTACAACTAGTGACAGGAGAGTTCATGGATATCTATGGCGAGACACTGCATATGTCCAGCTCGAGCAATATGAACTTACCACCACGGACGAATCCCGCGACTCTGTCGCCAACCTTGAGGCCGTTCGTTACAGCGCTTCCGACTTGTTCCACGATGCCGGCATAGTCGCAGCCGGCGATGGCTCCCTCGGTGAAGCGGGAATGGAGGCTTTTCCAATCGGTCGGATTGAGGGCCACAGCCTTGGTCTTTACGATGATGTAATCATCTCTCGGTGGTGGCACGGGGATGGTTGCGAGTTCGGCAACTCCTGCGGACTTGTGGACGATAGCTTTGCGGGTGGCCATGATTGCTGCTCGGGTAATCGAAGTGTACTGTCTCATTGACGAAGTGTTAGTTGAGTGATGGTACTTGCCCAAATTTATACGGCCATAAGGAAGCAAGGCTGATATATCAAGGAGTCCCGAAGGAGCAATCGGGATTACAAAGCAGTGAGGGGCCCTCGTACAAAGGGACGAGTACTATTGCGCATGGATAGCCGTACCACTCACAACACTGGTGACTGGCTCGGCGAGTGCCGGTTAGACGCGTCTATTAGTGCGCCGTCAGATGTCTGCGGCCCAAGACTTACCACTTGTATGTACAGCCATGTGCGCATGCAGAGGCGCTTTTGCATTCAAAGAATCAAGTTACAAATATAGTTTCCGTAATCTCCGCCAAACCCCTACAAAGGTAGGCAGGTAGGCTTGTAGGAGTAATCATTACTCTTGTAGCTGTAATCATTAGTCCTATAGCAGCAATCCCCATTCTTTCGTAGGTCCTTAGCCAGCAACGACGACAACAGAATACTACCACAGGACTAGCGAGGACTGATGCAGGACTAGCTTTTCAGCGGAGATTAGGCAGGTATTTCCGAAACTTGAACCTTCGAACTTGGGGGTGCATCTGCATGCGCACATAACTGTAGGGAAAAGCTGGGGGGAAGCCGCAAGAGTCTCTCGAAACAGCAAGCGGTACATCATGACAGCTTACACAACTTCCTACCTACTCTACCCGAACCTTAGTCTCCTAGTCTTTGAATCCCGTCTTTTTGCTCACAGCCAAGTTGTGTCCTGGAGGGTACTTGAAAGAGTGAGGGACAAGGGATTGAGCAGACCACTTGCCGCTGCATTCTACATCACATGCAACCAAAAGAACGCAAGGATCATCCTCACCTGATTCCAGAGATATGCATCACCAGTCTCTCAAACAGTGGACTTTCAATGGGGAAAACTCGGGGTGGTGGAGTTCCTCCAGCTGCGGAGCTCCCGGACCGTCGTCATAATGTGCTAGCATCGCTGTTCGAGCCGAGGCCCTTTTTCTTTCTCTGCAAACGCTGGAACGTTGCTCCGTCTACCTTGATATTTGCCCGGTGTAGACAACAATTCATGCTTCACGAGGCACCCGTACAGAATCATACCACCACATAAACACTAATCACCGCTATATGGTGTCTGCGTTGACGAAGAAATAGGCAAGCCCTGCAATCCTGAGACGAGGCCATTGCATCATATCTGAATATAACCTGAGCACCACACCACCATCGGCTTTGAGCTCCAACACAACACCACCACTCAACCACCAAATTCCCAATACACCCGCCATAATGACGTCCGCAGTTCTGGCAGGTAGCACCGGCCGAGTCGTACGTCTTCTCCTGCCTCCAACCCAAAATCCACTTCCCTCAACCCAACTAACTCCCACCCCAGGGCTCCCACATCCTCACCACCCTCCTCGCCCTCCCCTCCATCTCCGCCGTCTTCGCCTACACCCGCCGCGACCTCGCCCACCTCACCTCCCACAAACTCACGCCCCTCCAATCCCTCTCTCCTACCGATTGGCCCTCCCTCTTCCCCACCTCCCCGCCGCCCCAGCTCTTCCTCTCCGGCCTCGGCACCTCCAAAGCCGCCGCCGGCTCCTTCGAAAACCAATACAAAATCGACCACGACCGTACGTAAGCTCCTAGCACACACAACTCGTCTCATTTGTCTTTGGAACTGTGTCCAACCTGCCTTTCTCCATGAAACCTCACTGACACACCTCCCCCGAACCCGCAGTCAACCTCGCCCTCGCCACCGCCGCCAAGCACGCCGGCGCGGACACCTACGTCCTCATCTCCGCCGTCGGCGCGTCCGCCACCTCGCGCTTCGCGTACAACCGCATGAAGGGCGAGCTAGAAGAGGCCGTTAAAGCTTTGGGGTTTGAACATACGGTTATTGTAAGGCCGGGGTTGATCGTGGGGCAGCGGGAGAGCGCGGGCGCGGCCGAGGTAGTGCTGCGGAGCGTGGCGAATGGGCTGGGGAAGGTGTGGAATGGGCTGAAGGACCCGTGGGCGCAGGACTCGGTTGTGATTGCGCGCGCGGCGGTGGCCGCGGGGTTGGCGTGTGTGGAGGGGAAGCGGGAGGCAGGCGTGTGGGTGGTGGGGATGGGGGAGATTGTTAGGTTGGGGAGAGTGGAGTGGAGAGAGTAGGTGGAGTGGGTAGGCGATGGGGAGTGTTGAAGTGCGAGATTTAGTAATGGTAGTGGAGGGTAGATGGTTTGAAGGCGTGGCGTAGGGATACCCATTGTCTATCTTTTTTTTGGTGTTTCAAGGACGAAATTCATTCTCTGCCGAAGTTATGGGCCGCTGGGAGTATTTGGCGTTTGCAATTGCACGTTTAACGAAGTGTTTTGAATCATAATTATCCTTGTCTCCAATTCTAGTCCGGAGACCATGCTCTACAACCATCTCTCCGTGGTCTTACAGTGTGGTACATTTTACAGGGCGACAGCCTCGGAAATCGTGAGACTGACAAAAGCTCAAACGCCCCGTAAATAATATAGACAGGAAGAAGAAAGTCTGAGTTGAGTGAGAAAAGTCGAAAACGGGGGCTCATGCGGTCCATGAGACCGGACGCCGGAATTCGGGCAGACTACGTGGTCCAGGACAAAAGATTCCATCGGAGAGAAATGCGTGTGTGCAATCATCCCAGCATCCGTAACTCGTCGCATTATATCCAATCCGCCCACGTTCAACTCCATTATGTATGCCGCAGGCTCACTAAATCTATGCCACCATCATTCCACCTCCAACTTCTGATTGCTGCGGCGGAGGTGGAGGAGGCTCGAGTCGTGTGTTTTCTGCCATCATGCGCTGGAAGCCGATGCCGACACCCTCGATGACGGCGAGGAGGATTGCGCAGCCGATGGCGCCATTCCGCACGGCTCGAGGGCCTCCGCGAACGGCGAGCGAGCCACCGGTAAAGAAACCGGCGATGATGGCGTTCCAGGGGTCTTCTTTTTGTCTACTCGCGGATTCGTTAGCCCATGGAGATGGCGGAGAGGGTGATAGCCGGGAGTCGGGGAAGAGAGTTGTAAACGCACCGGATGCCCTTGACCGCACAGTCGAATGTCGAGAAGAGACCACCCCATACGCCGAAATTTCCTCCTAGAACTGGCGCACGCGCTTTTATGGCCGTGATGGCTGGATTGGAATGTCAGCTCGTAGAAAGGTCTACGGGGAGGAGGGGTATCGTACCGCCTATCCGTCGTTCACCGTAAGGGCTATTCCGGAACTGTACAATCGTGAGCTTGTGATTTGTGTGATTTTGCAGAAGAACCTACGCCTTTTATGCCATGCCATACTGGAGATTTGTTAGCGCTTTCGTTCGAGGTATCTTCGAGTTTGGGATGGAATACGGACCTGAGCCACCGATTGCCTAGGGACTGGTTAGCATGAATTCCCAGAGCGCGATTGTTTCCTAGACTCACTCCCATACAGAATGCACCTCCAAAATCACTCAGTGCCACCCATGGGCACGGGTCTCGTGAGTGATCCATCTCTTGTGTTGGAAGGGAAACCGAGGTTGAAGACGTTCACGACGTCGCGGAGGTTGCAGATCAGACTGAGATGCGGTTCGCCTGGCGTGCGGAGTAGAAATGAGATGGCGAGATAGAGGCGCGACGGTTGGACGTGATGGGGCGGATGGAGATGCGTGGAGATGTCTTCGGCGAGACTCTTGGAACTTTTTTCGAGAGTCGGCAATATTCACGTGATCCGAATTTCTCCACCCTCAACTTCATTCCATCCCATCTTTGTAAACTCCCCCTGAAAATTGCTCCGCATCAACGACATCAAGATCAGCAACCACATCGCAGTCACAGCGCCGTCCTTCAGGCCGATACGATGCCCTGGCTGCAAAACTGGGGGTCGGAGGGCAGCCCACGACCGACATCGAGAAGATGTGACCGCTCACCTTAAATCGTCCCAGAAGTTCTTGGCGCTTCCTCTGATCTGGGAGACCCATTCAAGGCGTTACCCCTCCCTTGAGATGAGGAGATAGCAAAAGCGTTCTCATTTGACGAAGACCGCCCCAACTCCAGGAAAATTTTGCCTCAGAAGTATTGAGATGCACGAACGCAGCACAGCGGACAGTCTGGCCGCCGTCAATACGTACCATCGGGGAGCTTGCAAGACACGAGTCGCAGCTATTTATGGGTCAAGGCTGAATCCAGTTCTTGAAAAATCCCGCAATGGGTGCATCCATCAGAACGGTGATATGTCCTATAGCATTTGCACTAAGTTGAACATTTTGACATGTTTCTCTACATATCTCGTTCCTAGACTTCCGCTCCTTCCTATCTCTCGCCCCCTATGACTCACCTATGGCGTAATTACAGGACGACCGACTGTCGCACTTGGAAGCACGACCGCTGGCAGGTGGGCACCATCCACTGGCTTTATTGGTTTACTGAGATCTGAGATTCTGTCACTTTTCATCTGAAACCGAGTTCCCGAGTCCGATTGGGGTCCTTTTGAAGAGACTGCTGGTCTCATCTCAAGAATGCAAGAGTGATAATTGCTTAGTGCCGTGGCTTGGACCCAACTCCAAGGTGACCTGGTACATTGCTTGCCTCCAACAACTGCTAGAGAACAACGTCAATCCACATGCAGCACGTGACCTTCTACCCATTGAACATAAGCACCTCATTACCTTATTCTTTGGCTGCGATGGAAGATCTTGCAATCAGACAAGGCGGATGGACACCGCCCTTTGATGGGCTTTGGCGTATTCTGCGAAGTTGGTGTTCTATAAAACTGGCTATTCCTCTGTCTTCTCGTCCCGTCTCACTCTAGAGCTTTCAATATTCACCGTGTTCTCATCATTGACCTGCCCTCCACTGCTGCCTGCTAAGCGGGTCTTCTCTTCACCTCTTTCTTTGCATTACGTCAGCGCTCGCTTCACCTCGCTTCCAACCTCTTATATCTTCGTCCTTCGCTCGACGTCTTTCTCTCTACTACCTCATCCTCCTCCAGAGGCTTGTGCGTCTATTTCTTCGCGGCTTTCGCTCCCGCATAGCCCGGTACGTTATCTCTCCGACTAAAACGCTGAAGTCGTATGCTCTCATCTTGTAGTTCTCACTAACTTGGACTTTCAGTGCAGAATGGTCACTCGGTCTCAGAAGGCGGCCCCCCAGAAGGCCACGAAGGCCCTGCCGACTCGACCGGTAGAACCCATTGACGTTGACGAATTTGTTCCTCAGTCTAGTTCCGGCGAGACTACTATCCTAGACGAGAGCATATACGTTGATCGCGCGCGCAACTCAGACGAAGCCACCGCAAAAGGGTCTGCCAGCTCTTCTTCGACGGTGCAACACAACGGCTTCGATAGCGATCGTAAGATCTCCTCCCGTACTCTCACTTGATAGATCGACCATCTCGCTAACCCTACCGTTCTAGTTCAAATCAAGCAAGAGGCTACCGCCAACATGCAAGCTCCAGACATGGAAGCTATTGCACGTCGCCCAAAGGAGCTGCTGCAAGCCCTCAACCGCCTCTCTGAGCTTGGGCTACAGAACCATGAAGTTCCCCTCCCGAATATCGTTGTTTTAGGCGATCAATCAGCGGGCAAGTCGTCTGTCATCGAGGCGATCTCCGATATTACAGTTCCTCGGAGCTCAGGGACATGTACGCGGTGTCCGCTACTAATCAAGTCTCTTGGGGACAACGAACCCGGCGCCGTGTGGCGTTGCAAGATCGATCTGCATCGGAATTACGAATTCTACCCACAGGGCATCTTCGACTCTACGGACGAGGACTCACCCTTCAAGCCATGGATTGCAAACGCCACTCCTGTGGTTATCCCCTTCTTAATGATCGACAGCAAAGACAAGTTGCGAGAGGGGATTCATCGCGCTCAGCTCGCTCTCCTGAATCCTGGGCAGCCCACTGCGAAATATGCTTCTGGCCGCGTTCAAGATATTGGGAATACTGATGGGCTTCAATGTGAATTCACTCCGAATGTTGTGTCTGTCGAGATCTCGGGTCCCGGACGAATCAACTTGTCATTCTACGATCTTCCTGGGATCATCAACCAGACGGAAGACGAAGACAAGCCGTGGCTTGTCGACATTGTCAGAAACTTGGCGGCTGAATATATTAAGTCTCCGAATACCATCGTCCTCCTTGCCAAGTCGATGGAAGGAGATCCCCACAATTCCAGCGCAGCGAGATTGGCAAAGGAAGTGGGAGCGCATGAACGTTGCGTTGGTTAGTATCCCCCGATCGAAGGCCGTTACAATTTTGGAATCATGTGCTAACACGTCACCAGGCGTCCTCACGAAACCAGACCGTATCCCACTTGGAGACCCAGTGGATATGTGGCGCAAAATGCTATGCGGTGACCAGAAAACATTCTACCTGCCTCTAGGTTACTATGTCACCAAACAACCGTCGCAGGCTGACTTGGACGGTGGAATAGACAATGTCCGGGCTCGACAAATTGAGACAATGTTTTTCTCAACCAAGGAGCCGTGGGCGACCAAGTTTGCGGAATTCAAAGACCGATTTGGTACCTTTAACCTGCAGAAAGCCTTGTCCGACCAACTAGCTGAGCGAATGGTAAAGAACCTGCCCAAAATCCGCGAGTCCATCCGCACTCAGATCGACGAATTGGATTTAGAGCTGGAAAACATCCCGGAACCCCCCACTCAAAATGCGTTGGGCGCTGTGCTGTCATTACTCCAATCATATTCAAATCAGGTTACAAAGCTGATGGAAGGTGAACATCCGTTCAACGAGTGGCGCCTGACATGGAAAGCCCAGAGAGAATCTTTCCTGCGAAACCTGACAGCAATGCGGCCATCTCTCCATATCCAAGGGGACCTAGACACTGGCCTGTTCCCTAATCAAATAGATTTGACAGGGGACTCAGAAGATGATCACCAATCACCTACGCCTGAGAAGATCGCTTCCACGCCTTCCTTGAAGCGTCGTAGAGTAGACGAACCATCCACTCCGAGACAGATGCCAATGGCCCAGCCCAGCAGCGTGTCGCGACAACAGGCCCCGAAGACTCCGACGCGGAAGAAGTCGCAAGCCTTGCCCAATGTCTTCTACTTAGATAGGATCTGCAAAGTTCTGAACGACATATCGTCTTCAGACATTCCTAGAGAGATCGACTCTAAGGCTCTCGACTTCCTCATACTGGAGTCTCTAAAAGACTGGGACAAGCCTATGGCTACTTTTTTCCGATCTTTGGAGCAAGCTTTGCGGTCGCAGATGCAAGGAATATTCGACCAAATCTTCGGACCCTGGAAAACGAGCGAGCTTTACGGAAAGGCTTGGGAGATTGTCGATCAGCTTCTGACGTCGCACATGAGCGAGCAACGCGACACCTTGGCAGTGCATGCACTGCGCGTTGAACGAGAGAAGCCGTTCGCCGGTGACGACAAGCTGTGGGACCACCACATTCTCGAGGCATTGGGCGTTCTCCAAGATGCTCGGATTTCGCGACGCCTCATCATCTACGTCAAAGAAAAGAACGCGATTACTGGAAAAGAAACAAAGCAATCAGAACTTGCCGGACTGAAGGCAAAACCAGAAGTTTCGAAGATCATTAGGGACGATCCCTACCGTCGAGAGGTTGAGGTGATGTCAAAGGTTCGAGGTTACTATAAGATCTCTTCCGTCAGATTCTACAGCAACATTTGCTTGAATCTGCAGGCCAAATTGTTCAAGTTTCTTCGTGAATCTTTGCACGAGGAGCTTACCACCGGCTTAGGTGTCTTCGCTGATGACGGTAAGAGTCCTCGCCTTGGTCGTCACACTTTCCATACTAACTTGTCAATAGGCCGCGACCGATGCAAAGTGCTGCTTGAGGAGGATCCGGAGAGAGCAGAACGACGACGCACCCTTCTCAACAAGCGCCAAGCGCTTGTTGAAGGTCGAAAGTGTCTCGCCGAGCTCCTTGACAAGTACAAAGGAGCTGCGAGCGGGGACACCGACGCCATGGATATATGCTGAATTCTGGTGACGGGATAGATCTCGTTTGACCTTGTTTCTTCCCTAGCTCTCGCCTGTTCTTGTCAATAGTCTGTGATCTTCACTATTGGTAAGATCTAAGATGCGCTTCAGGGACCTAGGAGGAGACTTGGATTTATTGTCCGACTGTCCTACGAGATCCCTCATGACAAGTTAGCTGTTTTCTTTTACCAGTCAACCTTGGCGATTTGATTGCTCTACTTTCCTAAGTGGCAATGTCAGCGCTGGACCATCGGCTGGTTTCTTTCCCAAAATCTCAGTTTTCCCTTGGCTACTCTTTTTCCTTTCCCGGCGAAGCCATTGAGTTGGATCGCGATTGGTCTAGCACCGTACCGCGGTTTGAGCTTGTTGCGTCCCTGTCCACCAACACCAAGTGCGCTCAAATGCTGTCCAGTGGTCTATGTTTCAACGCTCGGGTCGGTCGGCCTCCGTGTTGGCTCTCTAATTTCCTTTGTTAATTTCGGTCTTTCAGACCTGGTCTCGTAGCCAGCTTTTAGTAGTATGGGCAATGATGACTCTTTCCCTAAATTTTTGACTCTTGCAACTTGACTGCGGATTGAAACATTGTTTACTCGTGCTGCTTACTCACAGTATGAAGACTACTTACTTAATCGCGAAAGTATGAGTACCGCTGCTCTTCGTTTTTTCATGAACACTGCAAGGTGACTGGATCCCATATGCTCAATAAACACCTGATCTAACTCCAGAAAACAGGAAGCAAAAGCAGCCGCTCCGCTTTCCCTCACTCCTCCTCTTCTCCCTCGTCCTCACGATCCGCATCGCTCCCGCTGACGATTCCTACCACCTCCCAAACTGCCAAAGATCCTCCCGGGACTTTCATCCCACTCAAATCACAGCTGCACCTACAACAACACAACCGCCAACACACGCGTTAGCCTTACCGACGATGATGGTCTTCTCCAGGGCCCCAGGACGAATATCGGCCGCGCGCAATTGGAAAACGGGACCTTCAGCGCCGACTGGAACTTGAAGAGTGGGGCTTCGGTGTCGGGAGTGCGCCCTTGGTGCTTCTGAGCGATCGGTGGAGCAACATGGGGATGCCCTTGGATTCGGCGTTGGGGATTGCGGGACTTTAGGGTGATGGCAGGTTGATGGGGGGGGAGACTCCCGTGCAGAGGGATTAATAAGGGGGTGAGGTTTGGGGAGGATAAACGGGTTGGGTTGTTTGG